TCCAGGGGGAGACACGGTTCCTGTGCTGGATATGGGCAAGAGCTCTTGCTCAAACCCACATCAGGGCTACCTCTGTATGCAGACCCAGAGGGGGTCCCAGCCCCCCCTAGATTCATGTTGGTCATTTTTGGTGGAGTCTCATGTGAGGGTCCAATGGGAGAGCCTAGGTCATATGTCTATAACATGGCTGCAAGAGAGGCTCCTATACTGGGGGGGGGGGGATGGCTTTGGACCTCCTCAAACATAGGAGGGGTATTCAAAAAGATTGGGAGGCTATTCAGTATTGCTATTGATACATAGCTATGATATCCTAATATTATTTTAAACAGTTATATTTTCAAAAGTAACCAGTAATCCTTTGGGAGGAAAAAAGGTGGGGGTGGTTAACCCCAGCTGTCATAAATGCAGGTACTCCTTGTATGTAACCAGTCACATGCCAGACAGCACAGACTCTCCCTCCATGCCAGCGCACCCTCACTGGCTCCAGGGCCCCTTGCCCCTCCTTACAGAGTAGACAGCCAGAGCACAGCCCCATTTTGGGCTCTCAGGGCTCCAGGCCACTTGGGGGTGGTTGTGGGGATGGGATGAAATGTTTAAAGGTTGGCAAAGCCCAAGGGCCAGAGGGATTCTGGCCAAGCAGGAAAGGAGCCCGTGTTAGTGCTTTCATCCAGCTGTATTTCAGGCTTGGTAAGCATTTGTCACCAGCTCCAAAGTAGAAGCAGGCCTTCAAAACCATCTAGCCCGACCTTATTGGAATAGTGACCTCTTAGTCTACTGAGTGGCAGAGCTGAGATGTATGTTGGTAGGGGAGGGAGGCAGTGGATGACACCCTGTGGCCCCTGACTCAGAGCAGACTTCCCTAAGATCACTGGGTTTGCACAGAGGGGATAGGGATGGGTGGAGGACAGTGGGGAAAGTGAGAGTGTCAGGAACAGGTCAGGTTCCCAACTGCAGCATGAGGAAGGGCTTCAGCCAGACCAGCCCCTAGCACTGTCCTGCCGACCCCTCCTCCCAATTCCTCCTCCCTCCTCTGTCTGTCTTCCCTGGGTCCCTCAGTGAGGCCCAGGTGGCTGAGCATCCTTTGTCAGAGGGAATTAACACACATAATTAAAGTGTCCAATGAAGAGCTTTGCATATTTCTTAATTACTGTCTGAGTCTTTGGGGGGACGGTTTGAAATGGGATTTTTCACGTTTCCTCATTTAGCCTACAGTGAGCCAGCTGGCCCCTCAGGGCTCCAGTAGGAGCTGGCAAAGCCCTGGTCTGGAGCTGCCTTTGTGAATACAGGGTGCAGGATCGGGTGTGGTGTGGGAAGCCTGGTCCCCAGCCCTCCAGGCTTGTCAACCTTGCAGGAAGGATAGACCAGGCTTTTCTGTTTTGTAAAAATAGCACAGAAGGAAACAAGGATCAGACAGATGTAACTGGTGTCTCACCAGTTCCTCTCATCACCATAGGGCCCAGGAGCTGTGCATCCCATGGTCAGGACAAAATGGGGGACCTTATGGGCAGGGGGATTCAAGGGAATAGTGGAGTCCTCTCCCCAGGCCCCTGCAGAGCAGGGACAGTGGCCCAGATGGCCTTGCCTCCTTCCTAGCTGCAGGGCAAGGACTGCACCCTTTAGCAGTCAGGCCCTTCCCAGCATTCATACAGCTTTCCCCACTTGTGTTCTGGAAACTCAGCTGACAGAATATCTGAGTCAGCTGGGCCCACCCTAGGAACAGGTTATTATTGGCCTCAGCCTTGGGGATGCAGATTTGCCTTTTCAATCCCGAGGACCACTTCTGACAGACAGCTGCAGACAGTCTCTGACCTGGGCCTGGCAGTGAGCCAAGGATGCAGAAGCCCTTTCCTTGGCGTGGGGACTGCTGTCCTAAAAACACAGGTATCAAAGAGATGGGTCTGCCAGGGTGGCCTAGAAATGGCAGGGGCTTCTTCCAGGTCTTTCCTGCCTCCCACTCTGGGCCTAGCTCTGTGAACCCAGGGAAGATCAGGCAGAACCCCACTGTCTCTCCAGCAGTGTCCTGTAGCTGGTGTGGGTGGTAAATGTGAATGTGTGGCCTAGAAAAGATTATGGGCCAAAGTTCTGGCTTAATTCGCGAGAAGGCTACCGTGGGGGTGGTTCATGCTCTGCCAGGTCTTTCCAGACCTTCCAAATTCTCCAGCTAATTTCTTTTGCTCTGCCTCATGTTCTGCCCCATTTCTGGCCCTCACGGAATCTCTCCACCACACCCACATCTACCATGGACATGACCGGGAGGAGAGGGGTCCTTCACGGAGGAAGACAGTGTTAGACCAAGAGTCTGGGGGCTTATGGCCCACTCAACTATCATTCAGCCTGGGCACAAGCCAAACCCAGGAGCTCTCATAGGCACTGACCCCAGAGCCCTGGGAGACTTTGGCTTCACGTGGCAGCTCTATGCTCACGACTCTAGCTCCATCCAGTCCCTCCCCTGGGGACTCTGTTCCCCCTGATGCCTCGTCCCCATCAATCAAGACCCAGCCCAAATGGCCACCTCCTTTAGGAGACCATTGCAGTTCTCCAGCAGAGCAGCCTTGCCTTTTCCTCGGCTCTCAGTAGCCCCTCCCAGGTTACTTCGTACTTTAGGTATCTGCACCTGAATGGCCCCACCACTGGAGCAAAGCTGCTGGGAAAAGCAGGGGTTCATCTGTTTTCTCGCTGTGAATTCTGTGCCCAGCACGGGCCTGGCATAGAGTAAGCCCCCAGTGGGTGTTTGTTGACTGCATAGAGAGGCCTCTGCAGCTGTCTAGAAGCCACCCAAATGTACAAAAAGCTATTTATTTGGATCGGCCACTGAGATGGGGACTGCAGCCCATGGGACGCTGGCTGGTGGAGTGAGGTGCAGGTGGGTGCTGGTAGCTAATTGTGAAGGGCCAGCATCCAGTCTACACTGCACTGGTGGAATTTCCAGGGTGTATGGGACTGAGCTCATCTAGATAGGCTTGCAAAACTCCTGGGCCAGCAGTCACACTCAGGTAAGAAAATCACTGTTTAATGATCATTGCAATAATGAAAAATAAGCTTAGATAATCATGGGATTGAAAAATTAGTATTAGTTCTTTTTTAATGGTTTCCTTTCTGAATTTAGTGCTGATATCTGTGCTTTGGTCTGACAGTTTTAAAGACCACTTTTATGGATGACCTGAATCCAGGTGATTTTACTTACTTGGTGTTTGCTCCTCATCCAGTTTGCTTAGGGTTAAGGAATGGCTCCATCATCTGTTGGTCACAAAGCCAGGTGGCAGGGAGGTATCCGGAGCTCTCCTCTGCATCTGACCAGTCATTAGGTCCTGCCACCCCCAGCTCTGTTTCTCTCCAGTGTCACTGCCTCTGTTTTAACTGAGATCTGCTGTCCGTCACTGGACTGCTGCCCCCGGTCTGGCCCCTGTGAGCCGTTCTGCCCAAAGCAGCATAAGTTTTCTTCCTAAAGCATAGATCTCTTGCCTTCAAAGAGGTGGGTAGCCTGTCAAGGTGGCCTACTGCCACCTTGGTATAACAAGGTATAACATACCACCCCAAGTATGGGGTATAACATACTTGGTATAACAAACCACCCCAAGACTTAGTGGTATATGAAATGTGAATGTTTACTTTGCTCAGGAAACTATGGTTTGGGAAGATCCTGGCAGGGAAACTGTGTTTCTGTTTCCCTGGGCATCAGTGGCTGGCTCCAAGGGTGAGGGCTGGAGTCATTGGAAGGCTCACTCACCCACAGGTCTGCTGTTGTCAGGTGGGTGTCTGTGTGGTCCTCCCTCATGTGGGCTGCCGTGGGTTTCCACACAGCATGGTGGCTGGTGTCTCCGAAGAGACAGCTTTCAGAGTGTGAGGGAGGGGAAGCGCTCCAGACAGAAGCTGTGCCACCTTTCCTAACCTAGCCTTGAGAGTCACACGGACATTTCTGCCATAGTCACAGGCTCACCCGGCTTCGCCCCTACACAGAGCATCAGTGGTACATGGTAAAAAGGGCATGTGGGATGGGGAATATGTGGTGGGCCATCATGGAAGTTAGGAAGTGTCACACTTGCTCCCCCCACCTGTCTACTTAAGACCCTTCAGGAATGGCCACCACCCTTGGGAGAGAATCCATGCTCCTTGGTGTGTTCCCTGCCCTTCTGGCCTTGCCTGTCTCTGCCTTCCCTTCGCTCCCTCCCTCCGTAGCTGGCCCCAGAGATGGATTTTGGTTTAAATCAACCCACTGGCCACATGGAACTTCCTTGAACAGGCAGTGGGTTCTTGACCTTCCTTGAACACTTACCCCTCTCCTCACACACTATTTGGGCTCCATTTTCTCTGTGACAAAGCTCAGATGTAGAGGCTCTGAATGTATCTACCCCATGGCTCCTGGACACACCTCCACTCCCCCTGGTAACCTGGCTTATTGCCTCCAGCCCCTTGTCATGAGCTTTCTGTCTCTGCCTCTGTGCCTTTGTTCACACTGTTCCCTCCACCTGGAACACCCACTCTCTCTCACCCTCACCCTTCCACAGCTGAATGAATGCCCTGCCTCCTCCTTGTGGTCTCCCCGACTGCCCAGCCACCTGGGCCCCTCCCTGCCTTTTGTGATCTCCTGCAGTGTCTCATGTGCAGTGTTGCACATGAGACATGACTGTGGTGTCAGATCTGGGTCTGTATGCCAGCTCTAGTGCTTGCCAGCTCTATTACCTTGGTGACAATAGCTCACTCGTTGGATTGGAATGAGGATAAAATGAGCGAACCCAAGTTAAGCACCCATTTCTTGTCTGGCACCAGGTAGAAGCCCAGTAATAGGGTTTCCTTCTTTCTAAAGCCTCTGGCAAATGCTCAGTAATGAATTTCCTCACCTTCATTTGGTTGAAAGATTGAAAATGCATCTCCCTGCTTAATCACATCGGACTAAACTACCAGAAGATGTTGCTGAGCCCTGAGCAGAGAGAAGAGCTCAGTAACAATACACCTGCTTATTTAATATAATCCTGCCAGTGGAGCTGAATCTTTGTCCTCAGAAAAAGCTCCGCTGCTGCAGTGGTGTCCAAGAGCTGCAGTCAGAAGGCATATGGGGCAGTGTGACCTTGAGAACAGAGCTGCGAGGCAAGGGCAGTTCCCAGAGGCCGCAGGGGCCGGTGGAGAGCAGGAGCTGGTCGGATGCACAATGCTGCTGCCCCTCTCAGGCCGCCCCCAGCTTTGGCCCAGTGGTAGTGCCCTGTCAGGTGATGGCTGCAGCTGTCTTGCCATCCTTCATGGGGAGACTGAGAGAACAGGATGGCCAAGGAGGTGGGTGGTGCAAGCTGTCCATTCGCAGGTTCCCATACCTTTCACCCAGGGCAGTTGTGGAGGATCTGAGCCACATTATCCTGGCACCCGTGGACAGAGTATGGGTGGTCTTGGGGAAGCTCTGAGGCAGGGAAGGGTGGGGGAGCTTCTGCTCTGAGAAATGAGAAAGGCAGACCTAGAGGAATAGTAAGAAATTATTCCCCTTTGCAGCAAATCAGTAATGAACCCCTCATTCAGTCCAGGCTTCAGTTGGGTTGCTGGGCCTAGGTGTTCATGCCCGCTCACCCTGAGCGGCCATGATCCCCTCCTTGTCCCCCTTACTTCCCAGTTTCTGACCTTCCAGATTGGGTCAAACACGGCCTCAGTGCAGAAAAGCTCCCCCCCCCCCCCCCCCCCCCCCACCTCTGTCTGGTCCCAAGGAAAAGGGCTTGGTGGGGCCATTTCCAGAGTTCCATGACATCCATAGTGGTGGCAGCAATGACCTGGCAAAATCCTGAGACCCATTGTGACCCCAAGATGCTGAGGAGGGTCAGGGATAGGAGCTCATTCCCTGGTCAGACTACCTCAGCCTGGTCCCACTCGATCTGACCCTGACAGCAAATGGCTGTCAATTCATTTCCCCTTGTATAAAATGAGGATGATGTGAGCACCTGTTTCAGAGTTGAGGCCCCCCCCCCCAAACCGTGTTAAGGGCTTCGTGCAGGGTTGCCGCAAGCACAGAACCTCCTGAAAACTTGAGGTGGGTAGGGGTCTGGTCTCTCTTGTTCACTCACTGTTATCAGATAAATCTGCACCTGGCACAGCTCCTGGCATGTGCCTGGAACACAGTAGATACAGGAGGCACGTGCTATCATGGTTGTTGTGGGAACACTCAGAAAGACCGGCAGGACCCCACACCTAAACGTTCCTCCTGCACAGCCCCAATAAACAATTTGTTGTCTTGGGGCTTTCCTCCACCTGGAAGTCACCCTGCGAGCCAGTTCTAATCCACTGCCAGTGGCTATTGTCTGGGGATGGGGTGGCTTGGCATTCGAAGCCCTTGCAGGGATTTCTAGGTTCTCAGCCCCTCTGAGGACCTCCTGCGGCGCTAGTTGCTTTTTGCCATTCCACAGCCTCTTTCCTGTGTGCTCAGCTGCCCCGGGGAAACACCCCTTGCAGGGAGAGAACTGTATCTTCCTGCCTTCTCTCCACCCTGCTCTCTGATGCTTGCCCCTCCCCTCCCCCCCAGGTGTGAGATGGGATGTGTCACTACCTAGGGAAGTCACTAGCAAGCGAGCCCCAGATCCCCGTCTTCCAGGGGAGGCAGTAACTTTCCACCGTCTCTTGGAAAAGGAGGATGCTGCGTTCTCTTCCTCCTCTTTGATTTCATCTGCCTCTTGCTGGCTCAGGGTTTCACTCTGTGGTCCCCTTAGTATTTTGCAGCCAGGGCTTTCCATGGGGGAAGCCTCCACTTCTCACCTACATGTGAAAGTTAAGGGGAGATTTAATGCAATTGGAAAGCACTTAACATATTAATACCTAACAGTTGTCAAGTAAGATTAGAAGAGATTGTGGGTGTGTTACTGCTCACCCCAGAGAGGTTCAGAATAGATATGTGGCTATTCTGATGCCAGCTCATACAGGACCTGGCACTACCAGGCAGAGCTGGCATCAGACCCCTGGTTTAAGGGCATGCCCCCAACGAGACTGCCCCACACTTGAGATGCCACCACGAGTGGACTCCCCCAGGACACCACACTTCTGATCAACAGGCTGCAAATTTGAGGGGCCCTCATGACCCTCCTCAGGTTCCATAATTTACCACAACAACTCACAGAACTCAGTGTGTTCTACTTATAATTCTGTTACAAAGGATCCAAATCAGAAATGGCCAAATGAAGAGACACGATGGGCAAGGTCAATCCAGTAGCCGTGGTAGTATTTTTTTAATCTGATATTCTGGAAATCGTCTCAATATCTCAGTTGCCTGCTCTCTGCTTCTACTTTTAAGCATCTCCTGTATGCCTGGCTGGCACTTTTATTTAATTCTTACCACTGCCCCTTGAAGTCTTTGAGTTTATTATACCCATTTTAAAATGCAGAACTGAGGTCCAGAGGAATGGTGACCACCTCAAAATGACAGGGCCAAACAGCAGCCCAGCTAGGATTGGAATTCAGCTAATCAGTTCTGAGTCAAAGATGGGGCCATCCCAGTTTGCCCCAAACAGTGTGTCAGATGTCCTTCCTGGCTAGAAGATGGTGGCCTTTCCCTTACAAATGTTGGCTGTTTGGAAGGTGGTTGCTCATCTCTTCTGTGGTGTATGACTAAGGCTTCAAAACCAGAGAAGGACCCTTCTCAGAGGAGCCAAGTAGGGCTGCCTTGCTCCATCTGGGCAGTGACCAGCCACCCCAGCAGGCCCAGCCTTGTGGACATCCCGTCCAAGAGTCAGGGAGAGGCAAGAGTCAGGGAGAGGGCAACCTTCACGTGCTGGCTCTTTTGCTTTCCCTATCAGGGTTGCCTGTGTCTAGCAGTCCAGAGCAGGAGGGCCTCTGAGCCAAGCTCAGCTGGGCCGGTCCCCCTTGGAGATTCCCAGGCCCATGGCGGAGACTTGATGGGACAGTGTAGGCAAGCACTCCATGCTGGTCCTGACCCAACAGTTGTTCCTTCGTCACCCTTTCTCCCCTCCCAGATAATTAGAAATGCTGCCTGCGATAGGCACTTGTGCCACTGCCAGGCCCCAGGGGACCTGCACAGGGTTAGGTCAGAAGCCAAACCCCACACAGTTTGGGAAATTAGCATTTGTGGAATTCCCAAGAGATGGCCTGGGTTCTCTCAGCCATACTGGTAGGTGGCTCTTGTTTGGGGTTTACTGCCCCTTAGAGGGCATTTGCAAATATGGAAGGCGGTCCCGTCAGCATTTACCTGGTAAGATCCAATGATGCTAAACATTCTGTGAGGAGATAGACTGTCAGGCACACACTACAAAAAAATAGTCCTGCCCTTGAGAGACACTGGAGGATAGCCCATTTACTTCCCCTGCACCCTGGTTCCTTGGAAAGCCACCTCCTTACTAGTCCCAGGCTGAGTGAATAGGGAAAAAAGAGTATGCCTCCCTCCCAGCCTGTGGCCGATGGCAAGTCAGTATTTCCAGGTGACCATGGGTCCATGCAAGAGGAGCATCTTGTCTTATGCACATACTTGCTCTGATTCTTCTATATGCTTCTTGCCTCACTTGCGCTCTTGGGGGTCAGGGAAGACCTGGATGCGGGTGGTGAGAATTCTCCAGACTGGGGAGGCCTCTTGCTTGGTGCTGGCAAGTATTCCCCTATAACCTACCCAGTGTAGACTTGGCCACCTCACCTTAGGGTCCATCTCTGAGGGTCTGGCTCCTGCTTCTGTTTCTGAATTTCATCCTTCCTCTAGGCTTTTTTGTTTCCTTATTTGTTTTTTTCACATGATATGTGTTTGGAGGATTCTAGTTTGCATGCCACAGCTGAACCCCTTTCTTCTTGTTGTTTTGCAGTCGGGAAGACGTCTCTGATCACACGGTTCATGTACGACAGCTTCGACAACACGTACCAGGTGAGGTCCTGGGTTCCCCTGCCTCCCCCACCATGTCTGCAGCCATGACAGCAACCTAGAGACTATGCTGGCCTATCTCCAGGGCTTGCTAATGCTGGCCAAGAGCAGCATGGTCCTGGGTCCCCTGGGCATCCGTTTTGCCTTGGCGGAGCTTCCTACTTGTGCACAAGCCCCAGCCCAGTAAAGACCCTGAGCCCTTCTGAAAATCCAAACCTTGGTAAAGGAAACATTTTCTAAAAACAGAGAGGACACATTTCAGTCTCTGTTCTCTTGCTCCCGGTGGGCAGGTCTAAACCATTATAGTGTGTGTTTACTTGAAGGGTCATCATGTAGAGGAGGATGGGTAGGCAAGATGTAAAATGAGGGAGATGAAACTGAAAGCAGTAGGATAACTTGTTTCTCGAGCATGGTGATGTTTGCTGGACACTTATGCACATGCACGTGCACACACATGGTTGCTGAGGCAATTCCTTCTTGGAGAGGCTGGTGTGATGGGCTTGTACTGCTGTATGAGGACAAGAGACAGACAGAGTGACCTCTTGGCTCCTGTCTCTAGAGGGTGGGCTGAAGTCAACTGGTGGCCTAGAGATGGCCACAGGTGGCCCAAAGACTGAGCTCCTGGGGGGTAAGTAACATTTCATTGTCCTGGCATTATTGGTGAGTCAGGAGGTTTGTGCAAATGAAACGAATTTCCCTTGCAACTGTAGCTTTTCACAAAAGGCACCAACTTCAATCATTTCAAATATTTTTAAGGAAAAAAAAAGATACTTTCTTCCTTGACAAAGAGACAAATATTCTTCTAAACCAGTGGGTTCTGTAAGATACTAGTTCCAAGAGATTATTAGCTGGTGTTACTTGAGAAGAAAAGGTAGGGAGGGAAGGTCAGTGCTTGTACAAAGTTAAGGAGCACTGGTAAACAGAATTCAGTCAACTTTTCTACTGCAGGGCTTCTCAGGGCTTTTACTACATCAGTGTATGGTTTTGATTTGCTAACAGGAATATAGTGTACAGGATCTTCCGCACATATTTGATCACAGAATCCTTTTGTTCCTGAGTCCTCAGAGGACAAGCACTTATAGAACAAACTGGGGAGTGCTATGCTAAGAGGCCCCCCTTCCCTGGATTTACAGAGGATGCAGAGTATAGCTAACTGTGGATTACAGTTCCGTGTCTGCTCTGTAGTCTGTCTTCCTCCCTCAGGACCAATCATCATCTTTGCCTCAAATACAGCCCCTCTCTCTGCCTCCTCTAATTCCCTGTCTTTTTCTCTCCTGTGTGTGAAATACCAGATAACCAGTGGCCTTGGGAAGAGTTGATTGAAGGGTGAGAAGATGAGGCCCTGGGAGAGGGGCCCTGAGTACTCTGCACAACCCTGAGCACGGGCTATGGAATATCTTGGCCACACTTTATCTTCGCTGTGTGCTTTCCAGGCCAGGGCTTTGTACTACTGCAGGCTTGCCAGAGACCTCCTCCCCATAAGGGAGTTCTACCACGTTAGTCTTTGTTTGAGATTACAGTTCTAACAGACTTCAGTTCTGAAGTCTGACTTGGTATTCGTGTGTGTGTGTGTGTGTGTGTGTGTGTGTGTGAGTGATATGAATGATCTCACAGATACTATCTTGATTGATTTTTGAAAAATACTGAGTTATTTATAATGCCTCTTATTGGTGTCCCATTGAAAACAATGGGACTTTGGGCTGGCTACTGTTCTTGGCAGTAGGTGGCAGCAGATACGGCCCCAGGGCCTGTGCAGTGAAGAGTGATTCTCATGGGCATGGATCAAAGTCTCATGTCCTTTGAGTTTCTTGGAATCTCCTCCTTCGTCTCCAGGGTCCTCTTGTATTGCTTATTGCTAGCCCTGCATCCTGTGGTCCAGCAGGCCTCTCTGCTAGCTGCTCCCCACCTAGGCGACAGTCATGCCTCCACACTTGGGCTCATGGTGTCACCTCTGCTGGAATGACCTTCCCTCTCCTCTTCTCTGCTATGAAAAATTCTTCTGACTCATTGAGACTCAGAGCACATGTTTGCTCTGCAGGTGGGGCCTTCCCTGTGTTCTGTACCACGGCCCCCTCCACCCTAGCACGTTGTCCTCAGGACTCCTTTAGCTCACCGCCTATGTGCTCTGGCTCCTTGGACGGGCTCTGAGTCTGAGGAGCCAGGATCCCTCAGATCCGCCGCTGCATTTGTAGGCCTGCACAAGGCCTGGCCATAGCTGGTGTCAAGTACCTACTGGTACCAAATTGGCTTGGAAAGGGCTTGGTTTTCGGACCCCATTGGGCCAAGAGGCCACAGAGGCCAGATGTCTTGGTGAGCAGGGGAGAAAGCCCAAAGGGAAGCAAGACCTTCCGGATGGTGAGCTTTTTTGACTTTGTTATTGCAGGAGATAGAATGTCTTTCCCAGTGCTCTTTAAAATGGTAATTAGGCTGGGAGGCCAGGGATCCAATTCTGTGCATACACAGGCCATTTTAATGAACTCTCTGGAGAAAGAGAGGGGGAAATGGTACTGTTTATTTTGTTTTTCTTAACATGGTGGCAGAGACATTTGGGAAGTAGACAAGATCCTCAAGGGCTCTGGGGAATGTTGGTTGTCCCTGACCACTCCCTGCCAACCCCCCCAAACATCCTCTCCATCCGCCCCCACCATTAGCTGAGACACTCAGTTCCCAGGACAGAATCGTCCCTCCCTCCCATCCTTTTGCCTGCCTCTGGCTCTGTGTCTCATCCCTTCCCTTCCCCCATTCACTCATTCTGACAACAGATGTTTGTCAAGTACCTCATCTGTGTTGGAGGGACAATAGGAGAAAACAGTCTGGCTGCAGAATCTGGCCCTGCCCTCAGCTGGGGCATGGAGGGCAGAGGGATTCAATCTCATCCTGGGTGGCAGTGAGCCCTCCCTTGGTCTGGGGCTGAACAAGCCTGAGGCCCTGAGGGGCTGGCGTGAGGTCCCTTGAGGACCCTGATGGGCCCCCTGTCTTGGCCGTACATTAGCATCACCTACTGGGGAGATGGCCTGGAGTTTCACAAGCTGGCTCAGGCAGTAGCATTCTTTTAATTCTCTGAGGTGATTGAGATGAACGTCTAGCCGAGGCCGGAGCCAGTGGCCCGTCCCTAGATCTCCCACCACAGCACAAGTTAGGAGACCGCTGACCTACTGGGCTGCTCCCGGGAGAGGACCCCGACCTGCTGGAGTTTACTCAGCTGCTTCGGGAGTGGAGGGCCATTTCTGAAATATTGGACAGTTTGCCTGTCCTGGGTCACTCCCGGGATCCCATGGAGCCCCTGGGGGAAGGAACAGAACAGCTGTGTCCACTGTGCCAGCACAGGCCAAGGGGTTGCCCCGAGGAACCCTTACCCCCTCAGTGACCAGACCAGACTGTCATTCCTGGCCGCTCTGCCCTGAGGCTTTCGTCTTCCCTCTGGGCTCTGAATTCATTTCCTGGGGCTGCCATAGCAAATTATCACAAACAAGCAGTTTTAAACAACAGAATTTATTCTCTCACAATTCTAAAGGCCAGAAGTCTAGGATCCAGATGTGGCAGAGCCATGCTCCCTCTAAGGGCTCTGGGAGAAAATTCTTCCTTACATCCCCTGGCTCTTGGTGGTGGCAGGGCTCCTCGCCTCCTCGTCCCTTCACCTCCTCACCCTGGGGCTGCACCTCCTCGTCCTCTCACCTCCTCACCGTGGGGCTGCATAGCCCCAGTCTCTGCCTTCATCTTCATGTGGCCTTCTCCTCTCGGGGTCTCTGTGTGTCCTCTCCTCTTCTTGTAGGGACCCCAGTCATTAGACTTAGGGACCTACCCTAAATGCAGGATGAGTTTTCATCTTGCAAAGACCCTATTTCCAAATAAGGTCACATTCTGAAGTTCCAGGTGGATATGAATTTGGTCGGGGGCGGGGGCATTCTTCAACCCACTACGGCACCTCCCACTCTGATCCCACTGGAGACCAGTCCTTCTGGCCTTGGGCCTCAGAACCATCAGACGAGGTAGTTATCAGTGGGCACCAAAGGCTTCCTGGAGGAGAGGGCGGGAGGATTTAACTGTAGCTGCACTGGAGGGAGGGATGGTGACTTAGAGGAAGGATGACGTCTGTGGAAGTCCAGAGTGTAACGTCCAGCACTGCATGTGTGTGGTGGGGGGGGGGGGGGGGGGGGGGGGGGGGGTCTGCCTGTTGCAGTGGAGGGTAAGCGTGGGGCCTTTGGATGGATTATTGGCAGGCTGCATTTTGATGTTCATGGGTCTTTCCCCTTTTGCCTTCTTGGGTACTCTGCTCCTTCATCATATACATGTATGTATGTGTGTATGTATGTAATGTATATATATGAAATTATATTTTGCAACTGTTGTACGTAATCCAGACTAGATTCACTATTATATATTTATTATTATTATGTTTGTTTTTCTCTTGATTTTAAAAGACATTAAAATTTAAAAGTTAGAAAATATTTTCATGGCCCCCTGAAAGTACCACAGGCTCCAGGCTCTGAGCCTGCCATACCTTGTGGATAAGTGGGCCCAGAGGGTTGGCACTGGAAAGCCCTGGATGCTCAGAGGGGCTTGGTCTCGTGGGGCAGGAAACACAGGGCTGTTGAGGGTTCCTTCTGTGGGTACTGATGGGATCAAAGGCATCTGTTTGTAGGAGACACAGGTGGAGCACTGCGTTGGGGCAGGGGTGACGGCTGTAGGCGGGGTGCACACAGACCTGGATGCAGCTGTGTGTGGAAGGGCGGGGCAGGGGAGGGAGGAGTGTCACTGAGCATTTATGCAGGGCTGTGTGGGAGGTGAGTGAAGGGCCTGGGCCTAGGACAGAGACACCATAGGGCAGTGGAAAGGATGAGTGAACAGAGTGGATCTGTGGGGTACAGAGGAGGGAGAGGCCTGAGTGGGCCCTGGGTTTCTGTCCAGACACCCTGGAAGACTATCAGTGTCATCAACACACACACAAAATGAAGAGTCAAGTGGGAAGTAATGATGGAACAGCCAAGTGAAGGTGTTTGAAA